TTGGACAAGTCACTTCCCCTGTCTCAGCCTGATCTGTACATGTGAGGAATTCTGCTAACAATCCAAAGCTATAATATTCTAATCCCTCACTTTGGCATTCACGGTCACCACCCATGGGACATCACCTGTCTACCTTCCAGGGTTTACTATTCCTGGAGGTTAACTGAGCTACTGAATGAAAATTACCCAAATATGCACCATGTTTTCTTTTCTCGTACTTTTCTGCCTGTCCTCCATGACCCTCTTGAATGTCCAATTTCCCTTCAGAAAACTGCTTTTATGGCCAGGAAGTCCCCTAAGTCATCTAACCTTGACCCTTCCCCCCTTTCCCAATGTGAAAACTCAGGCCATGGTACCTTAAAAGACTTTTCAAAGCCATACATCTCAGAAGTGACAGAGCCAGGTTCTGAAGCAAAGGCTCAGTTTCTGGGCCAGCCCTCTTCTCACAACACCAACCCCAATGAATGGCTGGGATTCCTCCGGCCACTGAGATGGCCTTTGTATCTTTCACAATCTGTGTCTCAGGAATTGACAAACTATGGCCAACTGGTCAAATTTATCCTACCCACCTGTTTTTATAATGCCTATTTTTTTTGTTTACATTTTGAAAAGATTGAAAAAGTTGAAACAATTTCAAAAAGCAGTATTTCATGATAATGAACTTTATATGATGTTCAAATTTCAGTGTCAGTAAATAACATCGTATTGAACCCAGCATGTTCACACAACATCAAGTATTGTCAACGGCTGCTGTCATGCTCCAATGACAGTGCTGAGTGGTTGGAACAGACCCTGTGGTCCACAAAGCCAAAAATATTTACTGTGTGGCCCTTTAAAAAAGTTCTGTGACCTTTGGTATATGCCATTATGTGTGTCCTTATCTTCTGGCTCTCCATGACAACCTTCCTTGCACAATGAGTATGTTAACGTAAAGGGGCACAGGCAGGGACAGTGCTCTCTTACAAGTCATCTCTCAAGTAGTAAGAACCCATCCTCATTGAGCACTGGTGCCAGAAGCTGTTTCAAATGTTCAAGTATTAAGGTATTATTCCTCACAAAAACCCCATAAGGTTCTCTAGTTTTATTACTATTATTACTACTACTACTCTACTATTATTAGTCCCACTTATAGATGAACAAAATGAGGCACAGAGAAGTTTTGGACCTTGTACGAGGTTAAATACACCATTTGTTGAATTCAAACAAATATTAAAACTAACAATGATACATGCCTGCTGACCTCAGAGAGCTTTAGCCTAAGTACCGTGTATTCATCAATATCCTCAATCTAGAATCAAAGTCATAGTTCTCTGCACTCTAGGAAACCACTGCTAGACATTCAGGGACTGCTGAGGCCAGGAAACACAGGCATATATTTCTAGAGGCCTTCTATTTTATCAAAAAAAAAAAGACCCCAAAAAAACAGAGAGATGACTTTGGTGAAATGACTTCATAGTCAGATTAGGATTCAACTATGTTCCACTTCATACTTATAAAGTCATTTAATTTCATATGGCTTCCATTTGCTTATTTATTAAAACAAACAAACAAACAAACAAACAAAAAACTAGATGATTTCTACTGTGCCTTCCAGATCTAGCATGGCTCTACGCAGCAAGAGCACTGATAAGATGTTCTGAAAAAGGGCCAGGGACAGCTGCACGGCCATGAAGAGAAAGACAGTAAGGAATCAGGAGAAAAAGAGCCACCAACTTTACCCAACCCCAACTCACAAATTTCAGCTTTAGGGGGCTCACATCCCCCAACATGTGAAAGGTAGATAATTTGGGAAGAGTGACCTGTAACCTCTGAGGGGCATTTGATAAATGACTGAGCACTTTTGGAAGCTCTATCCTTTTGCCCCTGGCTGATGCCACTCACTCTGGGGACTCTACCATGGTACACGGAGGAAGCTGGGGTTGGTGTATAGAGTCCGATTCTCTAAACCTGCTGCTAGGACTGGGTGCTATGCATTGAGCAGAGCAGAGCCAAAGTGGGTCCTGGGTCCTGTGCTTTAAGGAGAAGCAAAGTGAGGAGCTGGAGATACTCAAGAGGGAAAGCACCAGAGCCACTTGGCGCAACATAAAGAAAGCCAAACCACCTCTGATGGCACAAAAACACAATCATTAAATTTAAGGATGGAACAGGCAGGCATGTGGTCTGTTCCTTGCCTCACTTCTCAGACTGATACAGCTTCTCTCCTTCCAGACATGCTGGACATTCATCCTCAATTTTGGTTGCCCATGTAAAATACATGTATACAACGGCTTGTACCATGGCTTACGTTGTCATTTGTTCCAGATCCACAGTTCCCATGCCACGGTCCTGAATGGGACACACAGATGGTTGGAAGTCTGGAAATGGCCCCAACCTTGCTCCAGGGTAGTCCTTATCATAAATTAGCTGGGGCTGGTTACGTGTTTCAAAAACAGCTTGGCTCTATTTATTTTCAAAGGCCTTTTCACCCTTGGAAAATGAACTAAAATGCCTCCTCCTCCATGAAGCCTTTTCTAATGTCCTCCCCTTCCTTTCAATTCTACAGCTCTTGGCTCATTAGACTTGGCAACCATTGATCTCACTCGGCTCAGTACCTAGGTGTTCTAGAGCACGACACCCCCAAGAACAGAGAACACGGTGCAAAGAGCATGGCTTTGGAACCCCCTCAAAAACTGGTACCACCACCAAGTCACTCTTGGACAAGTTCTTTAACTGAGCCACGGTCTTTATCTTTCAACTGGGACCAGGATGCTTCCATGCAAGGAAGAGAAAACATGTACAGTGTGCTTAGACTGATGTCTGGAACATAATGGGTGTTCAGCAAATGTCAAATAACTCCTCTTCATCATCTGCATTCTCTGAAACGCCCAGCACTGTGCCCTGCATACAGTGAGCACTCAATAAATATCATGGTTGTGTTGGACTAAATTGCTGAATCACCCATTTGTCTGTTTGACTTCATCTCACATTAGAGTCAACCAGGAAATTATAAATTATTCTGACTCCACATGCAATGACATCTACAAAGTGATGACTTTTTCTGTCTTTTCTAAAAAATTAAGATGGACTCTAATATTTACAGTTATTTTTTCTAGGTCTATTACATATGCAAAAAAAAAACATTTTGTCTGAATGAGTATCACACTAGCTTTCCAGGCTACTGGTATGAATATTTCAAAATGATACAGTAGAAGCCATTCAAGATTTCAAGGACATCCTTTCACACCAGGGGACATATTTTGCCCATTTCTCAGAAGGCTCAAATAGGCTAAATTTGCAAGAAAGAACAAAGTTTTGTCACATTTGCTGCCCCCAGAAGTAAAATTTCAGGGTGGCAGTCCATCTTTGCCTCTTCTGGCTCTGGCCGTTGGGTTCCCCGGGGCACCTCCGCCAAAGAAGGACCCTCTGGGGGCACTAACTGGGCAGCAACCCACTTTGAAACATCTCCCACTTCCTCTGTATCTTTCTGAGTCCCAGACTTTCAGGACTTTTCTGTCTGCCAGCTGATCTGATAAGCCAATTCACATTAAGAAGTGAAGAAATGCTGATGGTTTGTGAGAATCAATGGTAGCTCTTTCCTGGGCAATTCCACTGCACTTTTTGGGGAACTACTTGATAGAATTCCTTTATTCAAATAAATGTCTCTAATAGTGAGAATTTCTGATCCTATATATTGGCCGATGGGTAAATGCTTTGAACGCAGGGATGTTCTGTGCTTCTCAAATCACTTTCTAGACAGCTGCCTATAATGTACTTGCCCTTGATCCACCAACCACATGTCCTTCACTTCAGATGCCAATCAGGACTTTTCTCCTCCTCCATGTCTTCCTTCTAGAATTGGCTAGGAAGTTTTAGGTAAAGAGAGAATGGGATTCTCATGTACCTCTGTCTGCCCTGTTACTTACTATACTCTCTTGGCTGTGCAGATCAAAGATCAAAGGACAATCAAAAACACAGACATAAAACACTTGGGGTTTAATACAGAGTTGTCAGCAAAGAAAGTCTACAAAAAACACTTGAGGTAGCAAGGGCTATGCGCAACTGTCCTCCGAGTGGAGTGAATACACTAGAACAAGGTGCCCGATCTCCGATCTCCTCATCTGTACTCTCAGCTGCTGGTAATGAAAACGTACCAGTAAGAGGAGTTCAGGAGGCTCCGATTCAGAAAACGATTTGCTTGATTTACAAGCTCTGTTGAGAACCTAATCACTGATGAGTTTAAGTCTTCAAAATACGTGTTGTATGAAATATCTTTTGTGACGTGTGTGTGTGTGTGTGTGTGTGTTTGTATGTGTGAGTGGCTGGGGGAGATGGGCATGAAGAGAGAGACATGGAGAGACACAGACACAGAGAGCTATTTTTTGGAAGAGAAACAAAGAAAACTGAAAATAATCCCACTGCACTTAATGAAGCCCCACTGGACTAGCCCTGAGTCCAAATCAAAATCTCAGAGGCAAGACTCACAAAGCTCACTTTCCCAGAACCTAGTCCATCTCAGTTAAGTCAGGGAACACCTGACGTTGACTTCTACTAAATTTCAGGTACGTCTCCAGGGAATAGGCATCCCTTTGTTCATGGCGAAAATTGGAAACAGCTAGTTCCACGACCTACTGGCTTCGCGAGCCCCAATTACCACTGACAATTAGAAGCGAAGTGACAGGAAGCTGAGGAAGCAGGCTCTGAAATCTAGGGAGAGTCGGGAAGAACATTTGCCACAAGAGGGAGCAGGAGAATCTGATCAGTTGGGAGCCTATTTGGTAGAGGTTATGATGAGGGGTCTAATTATGAGATACGGACAATACTAGAAGATGTTTTGACAAGAGACATTTACCCCTTAGAGGGGAAAAAAAAAGAGGATGAAAGCCTCTGAAAGACAAGCGATCTCAGCATAATCTATTCTTAAGTTCTTAGCAAATGTAAATCACCAATTTAATTTTTAGTGAAAAGCAACATACATACACACTGCCAAATTATCAAACATGCGAGATACGGGCTCTACTAACCTCTTTTACTTGTGTATTTCTTTTTCCAGATTTAATTTCTGTTTCAGTTTGGATCTTGTTTCTTTCCATGCTGATGGGGCAGATGGCTTGGCTTGCTTCTCACCTACAGGCTTTTCTCCCTCTACCTGAAGCCATCATGGAGAAGGGGCTCCTGGTATTGGTCTGGAACATGAAGATCAGATGGTACAGTCCTAAAATGCACTTACTCTGGGAGAATCCCATCTATGAGCTCAATGAAAGCTTTAACTTGCTTTAAAGGGGAAATGCAACTAACTTCACTGGATCTCTAGGGCTCTTCTCATCATTTATTTTGTCAAAGAAACAGATTAAGTACTTAGAAGGAAGGAACCATGCATTTACTTTGCAAGACAAGTAAAAGTCTATTTTTGTCTGATAAAAAAAAGGTGTTAAAATATAGCTTGCTAACAAAATGCTGAAGCGCTCGAATATTGTTTTTTTCAAAACATAGTAAGTTGGGAAGAGCAATTAATGTAATTCCTGCAAACAGTCTCGTAGGTGTTACTGACAAAACTTCATCTTCCTCCTGTAATTTCACTTGGAGTTAAAACACTGCTAGGGTTATATATTTTTCTTCCCTTTCATGGTCAACAAAAGGGTTATCTAGTTTTTAAACCAAAATGATACAGTAGCAACCATTAAATAGTAAAGATAAATAGAAAGACAGACAGGAGGTAGACAGGTAGATAGATACACAGAAAGACACAGATATAAAGCACAACTTTCATATTCTTTTAATTCATCACACTCCTTTTCCAGCCCTGCTAGGCTTTCAAGACAGAGTAAACCAAGTCTGATTGTCAGGGACACATACATTCTTTGCTGTCACTGCACAGCTCCATAGTCAACAATTGTTTACCTCTGTCCAGTTCTTTTCTTTTTCCCTAGGAATCAATCATTCCATATTTAATAAAAGAGCCATTTTGGGAGGAAAAAATCAGGGTTCCTTTTTTAATAGATGGGAGAAATATCAGCTAAAGAGCCCTTAGATCCAAATGGAATCCTTCAAGCAGGCAGAATCCGGAAAACGAAACCCACGTAAGAAAACACATCTTGCTTTTAATGAAGTAAGTGGGTCTTCCCTCACCTTCTCACTCACAAGGCCCCAAAGATGGAGTGACCTCTCCTTTCCTTCCTTCTTTTTTTTTCCCACACCGACCTAACCTCCCAATGAAGCAAGTTTAGCAAACCCATAGAGCTAAATCCAAGTAACACAGGATTTGAAAGAGGAACCTAAAAGCAACCATTCCCATTCCAGCTTTGTTTTCTTTTCTGAAATGAATGGAACATCTAGCTATATTTTCCTCCTTCCTTTCCTGACTTGCTGCAGGAGTAGCTCTGAGAGACAGACAGAGAGAGAGAAAAAAGTGAGTGTGAATTGTGTGTGTGTGTGTGTGTGTGTGTGTGTGTTGAGGGGCGTGGGTGGGACGTATACTTTCAGAATCCCCTCCTGGTTGCTCCCCATTTCACTTAGGAGATCTGCACACAGATGCTGGATTGTGATGTTCAATTGCTCATATTGGGAGATACTCAAGCTACGCCTTTAACCAGATCTGATCAGAATCTCCACCTACTCCGCCAGCTCCTCCATGACAGAGATGCCGCTACTGTCTTTACCACATCTGTCATTTTCAAAAAAGCTTCTTCCACTACACCTACTGATACCCTTTTTCCCCCTTTCTTTTTAGTCTTTACACCTCCAGCAGGACAAAGTTTGTATTGTTATATTCACAACCACTAGTGGCTGACTAGCACTAGAGAGATAGCGCCAGCAAGGGAGCCAGGCAAAGGGGGGGTTAAACAAATACCTAGTGCAAAGCCTGACTTTCTTTCCAATGACTGCGGACACCATGCACACTGCTTTCTTCAAAAAATTCTTGGTTAAATTTGATGACTCTGCTCTCAATCCAACCGTTGCCACTTTGTCTGGAGAGGGAAATACGAATTGCCAGCCCAAGCCATTCATCAGTCAACAGACTCCATGAGGGAAGGGGGATTTAAAAAAAAATCAAGGATGCACACATACTGTATTTTTAAAAGCATTGCCTGGGCAGATTTGGCTTCTCTAGCCGATTGTCCACCCGTAAGACCTCCCTCTTCTTCATTAAGGAGGAGCCAAGGATATCCTCGCATCTCAGAACACAGACCATTTCCCCAAGAGCCAGCAAAGCTCCAGAGGCGGATAATGCATCGGTAAAGTTGCCTTCGAATCTCTTAGGGAAAGATGCCTGTGCGTGCAGAATCCCCAACGCACACGCGGGCGGAGTGCCCAGAGACTCGGACCCTTCAGCCCACTCCCCCACTGCATCTCTCCCTTGCCTGTCCCCCCGCCCCGGCCACACCTCCCTCCTCTCCGCAGTCAGTGCCGAAGAAGCACCCAAGGCTGGCTGGAAAAACGGAGATTCGCGAGTGTGGCCTTGGGGAAGACCCCAGGGATCTGACCGCGGAGCAAGCCCAGTGGGTGGGGACGCCTGGATCCCCAGCAGCGCTGCATTCCGGGTGGACTTAGCTCTTCGCGCCCTGGATCCTCAAGCCCAGCGCGGTGCAGGGTGCAGCATCTCTCCTTAGCAGCCCTTTCTTCCTCCAGCAGCCGGCACTGGCAGGCGGGCACACTCAACGCCCAGACGCACCAGCCCGAGCAATTTCACTCCCCGAGAAGCACGGACACCCCAGAAAATGGGTAGGGAGACACACACCTACACACACACAATTTAGGAGCCAGTCCCTTGCCAAAGCGGAGGGAAGTGCAGCCTTCTGAACCACAAACGGAAAATAGTTGGCGGTATCTGACCAAATCCCTCCTGCTGTCCATCAGAAGATCCTACCTGGTCTGGGGGCAGTGTGGCTGGATCCTTTCCCCTGTTCCTCCACGCTAGGAGGAAATACGGCGCACTCCCTCCTTTTAAATAGCTCCCGAGCAGGGAGAGGTCGCTCCCATCTTCGGGAGGAAGCACAAAGCAGGCGGTGGCGGGCAGGCTCCCGT